TAGATTAGGCGGCAAACACTACACTCATTACACTGATCAGTATCGACTAAGGGACTCTGCGATATCGAGTATCGACTAAGAAAACCAGTATCGATGAGTACCCAATATCGATATCGACTAAAGCCCAACACTACGGGACACCCTTTAAATAATTAGGACCTATATTGTATCTTTTTGTGTCTTTTCGCGTCTTTTCATGTTTTTTTGCATGGACCGTTCTAAATAGCTTCCCTTGAAAGTGCCTTTTAAAAGAAAATTATATTTTCATTGCAAAGAATGAGAACTGCAGCCACAACAGGTTGCAGATTTTTACTGTGAACTCAAAATTTGAAATATATACCTTTCATCTTCAGGTTTCCTTATTTCCCCGGACTAAAACTTTAGGGAGTCTCCTACTTTTGTATACACATTTAAGAATATTTTAGAGAGAGGGATTACAGTGGGTACTCTCTACTCTGAGGAAAAGAAATCATTTAATAAATTTTTTATTGTGGGAAAGTGTACATTCCAGAGATTGCTTCTGCTGAAGGCAGACTTATTCATGACTTTGATAGTTGATAATGGATAATAGAATAGCATTTTTGTATATATATATATATAGCGCAAATCCCCGCTCAACAGCAAGCTCCTCTATCATGCGCTAACAGTCTGTACTATTACCCCAGCACACCTGAGAGCATGCTAAAACAAACTCAACTTCCTGGGAAGCATACAGTGCAAGCTCTGTCTATGGCCGGGTACCCATTTTCACTGGGTGAAGTGAGGTAGATTTGTGTAAGTGCCTTTCCCAAGGACACAACGTCGAGCCCGTGGCTCGAACCCCCGACCCCTTTACCTCACCATTACGAGTCCACATGTGAGGCATCGTGGTGAAATCAGGCGCTCGTCAAAATAATGAAATTGAAGAAACAGGCATGAGATATTTTGATAAATTACTTTGTTTAAAAACATAATTCGGTGGAAGGGCTAGAACCCAGATGGCCGGCTGCTGGATCAGAAAAGTAAAGTAAGTAAAAACACAATTAGTTATAAATACAAACTCTCTTTATTTCCTCAGGACAAACCTGCTGCATGTTCACAACCTGGCACTGAACCGAGCGTTCTTCTACTCGCTGATCTATCAGCGGATGAACCACTCGTGGGATTTCAACACCCAGCCAGGTCTGATGTACATCTACATGTCCGCCACGGCTGACGTAACTGCCAGTCCGGGCTTCATCAACGGTTCTGGAATATTCTTTGACACAGATTGTGCCTATCCTAATTGGTAAGTAGCTCGCCATATCAGCAAAGCTATCACTATAATCACATATGTGGCTATTTTTCTTAAATGGGGGCTGGTGTCCTGTTCTGTCTAAATAGTTAAGACGCTACCCTAAGTGTAGCTATTTTACTGCTTGATGGACAACCATTTGCTTGTTGTGTGAACTTCTGGTGACTAAAAGTAGCAGGCGAGTCTGGTTTTAAGCGGAGGAAACTATATGTTTACAAGCAACAGGACTGGGTTAAATAATGATCTATAATTTAGATTCACCTGGTGCGGGAGAGGTGCCATACTGCAGGGCCAACTACTGAGATTGAGTAGAAACACCAGTCTCCTTATATTTTTTTGACAAATTGTGGAGTGATGAATGAAGAAGTTTATACATGAATGTGAATATTGAACTGAGGGCATTGTAAATTTATTATAGGGCCTCAAGTGAAGAAGTCTGCGGCAGAATTGCATCGGGCAGTCAGTGATACCTTTGCACAGAAGTGTTGATTGAATTGATTGATTCTCGATTCTTGTCCTTGATTTCACACAAGAAACATTTTGTATTTGGTGAAAAGTTAGATCGGTCTCATGATGTTGCAAAAGAATATTATTTTGAATGTTGACTTTCTTTTTTTTATGCTGAAAGTACTCCTCTTATAGACCGGAGGTTTAAGGGTGCAGTTATTTTGATAGGCTGTGTGTGTTACTCTCTGTTTTCATGTTTCTCCTTTCTATTTACTCTAACTCTGATTATGTAAGTGCTCAACAGTATTTGCAGATCTCTTTCATCATGTATCATGCTGCAAAGAGTTAGTGGGCTCTGGGATATGGACTGATCATAGTTCCAGTTCTGCCATTTTTCTAATGTTTCTGGCTTGGAGTGGTTATTTTCCAGCTGACTCGCCTTCAAACTACCAGTTGATGTTAGCAAAATGTTCTGATAGTCAGATGCTTGTATCTTCAGGTATGTGACCTTGGACTTCAACAAAACTATCGCCCTGTTTGGACCCAAGGCATGGCGGGCTGATGACTACAACGAACCCACAAACTTCCTCAGAGAGCCGACAAACGGTACGATAGACATTTGGGACTTGGCGGCAGGAAACGCAAAGAACTACACGGACCGGCGATATAAGTCCAACCCTTGGGTAGATTTTTGGTTACCGGACTGGGACTCAAAGACAGACTCGCAGCGGAAGTTCACTTATTCTGTCGGCATAAAATACTCCAATGTCACGGGAATGTTTAAAACTGACGCCTTCGAAGAATTTAAGTTCTTCGGACCTCAGCAGCCAGGTAGTGGAGACCCGGACATTATGTTACCAGTCATTGTGACAAGGCCATACTTTGACTGTGGTCGTTCCAATCGATGGATCGTGACAGCATCCAGTCCTGTGGTTGACTTCATGCCCCGTTATTCTAACTATACACAAGTGCGACGACCCAGGTGAGTTCAAACTCTGTGTTTTTTTGTTGATTTTGCTGCCCTTTGCCCTTGTTGTGGAGAACAAAGTCTATAAGAATTCCATGTTGCTGAATGTGTGTTCTTTGGATTATTTATGTGTGCGGAAAAGAACTTGTTGCCTGAGATCGTACATGTTGAGGAATTGAAAGATCAGACGATGGGATGTTCAGCTGTTTGAGTTTTCAGTTTTCCCTATTGATCATTGAAGATATCATTCTGCTCAAAGGGGTGTATTTAGGAGTTATAATTTGGAAAGAAAAAAAAAAGAAAAGAAAAGTAATAACATTTATTTACCAGCACAACAAGAGTCTTCTACAGTTTACTGAATGAAAATAAAGTGAGCAGAAGCAGACAATCATTTTTAAATTTAAAAAAGAAATCTCACTGAGCCAATGCATTTTCATCCCCAGTTATAATTTTTTAAAAAGATGTGAATTTCAGGAAGGCAGCTCCACTGTTGAGTTTTGTGACTCATAGATTGAGAGATGTTGTGAGCTCTTTTACTGCTATTCTTTTTGGGGCACTGCTGTGTTGTCTGTTCCTACCTATAATACTAAGAGAGTTTTAGTGTTCAGGACATGTTTCTGTTTATCTTGTCGGGTCAGTGCAAAATCAAAATGTTGAAAATGTTGCTGTTGTCATGGTGACTCATTGTGGACTGCAAGCTTGACGCAGGGATGGAAGTTTTCCGTAAATTTACGTAAATCGGTAATTTTGATGTGCTCCGTCATTTTCCATAAAGTGTCCTTTCAAGGGTGAGTCATTCTACTAGATGTGTTCTAATCTACTATTGAATTTAAAGTGTATTTTTTTCAAATCTGTAGCATGCGAAAAGTTCAGTTAATTTTGGACTGATCAGTTTCCATCCCTGTTGACAGCTTCTTGTGTTCTTTTGATTCTCCTTTTTAATCCAGTAGCCTTTGAAAAAGTGTGCCCTTTGGCCCAATGGTTGTCTTTGGTAGGGGTGGGAGGAAGAAATGGCTGTCCTATCGAACATGTTTTGTCCTTATCACTCGATTCTCCTCCTTTTTATCTGTTTGTTACTCTCTTGTAACCCCTAATTTTCAGCATTTAATATGGCCGAATTGTGTAGCAAGTCAAGTACCGTAAAACACTTCCTAAAATGAGATCCTGTTCGTTTGGATATTTAACGAGTAGAAGTTTGGCTGTTTCATAGAAGTGGTAACAACAAAGCAGGCACAGGGTGGTAGTATTTATTTTTGAGTTGATTCTGAAGTGGGTTTTAACAAAATTTAAATTTCATTTTTTTTTGTTAGTAAGTTTTTTTACGGCGCTCACAACTGCATAAGGTCATATGAGCGCGCGGGACTCGCCAAACATTTTCAGTTGATAGAATAAAAAAAATAATTTTTTTGCCCTTGTGGCTACTCTTATCGATTTTGGACCGCCAAGGGAACTTTAACGTGCGCAACTTACGTATGGGACCACCGAGATTTTTCGCCCTTGTCCGAGAAGGCTAGGTGTAGATCTTACCTACCATAAGATCTGGGGTGTGGCTGAAAGACAGCAGTAATTAAGAAGGGGCCAAGGAAAAGCAGTAAGTAGAGAGATTGTAGAAAGAGATTCAGTGTTTAACGGCCATTGGCCCACACCACACCATATAAAACAGGACAGCATCCAGTGTAAGAGGGGAGTTGGGGTGGGGGTGGGCTAGGGGGTACATGTGTGGAGCAACGCAACAAAACGAGTCCCCTGTAACGCTTCGCTCGCTGTGTTGAGATATCATGCAGAACCTTGCTTTGTCTCAAAACTGAGCGTTTCTGTCGACGCCCCAACTTCCTAATGACAATGTCAATGTCTAGCTAGGAACGAAATTACCAAAAGCAGCTAGACTAATAGTGTTCTCACTCCTTTGCAGCGTCTGTGCAGATCTGTATTTTGATACCCGTGAGTGTGTGTGTGTGTGTGTGTTGATGTGTGCACGCGTGTATGTGTATGAATGTAAGAGTGGAAGGTCTGGTTTAGAAACCGACATCACAACACTAGTTCAGGGGGGGG